GTTAATGGACAAAGCAGGGGAAAAAAAGGTTTGCCCCATGAAGTTTCCATTCTAGAGCATCTTCCAGAAATGCTCTTTGCATATGCAAATCTATGGATCCTTTAAAAATGTTTATAAAAGCAGAATGAGCCAGGTATTCTGATTGGTTTACACTAGATGCATTTTTATAGGTCAGAGATTGAGCAATTGGTTGATCTCTGATTATCTTAGATCTGTAAGGTTTTGCTTTGATGAATACCCCACAAAGTTAACAAAACAAAGTCCGGTCTCCTGACCTTTGGAAAGTTACAGTTTGATATTTTGAGTTCTACAAAAAAGAGCTTCTAGCATTTGTAGGGCCCATAAACTTATTTCAACGGTGTTGTCGCTGCTTAAAATATTTTCAGAGCTCTTTTGAGGTTGCCGTTGGAGTCAGTTTACATGTGGTACCTCCACCTCCTCCTTCCCTCACTACACACTCACGACCACAAACAATACTAGCCTTGGCCGCTGGGTCTTTCTGGAACACGGAAGGTGAGCCTTTCAGCCAGGGGACAGCTTCAGAGGTCCACTCTTTGATTCTGTATGTGGCTGGTGCCAATGGCTTGGCCAGATTGCTCTGTCATCTCTTTGGCCAAACACAGGCCAGAAGGGTCGAATCACTATACAAAGCCGTTCTGAAAAAATTCAGTGGAAAAAATTAGGTCAATGGTTTTCAAACTTAAAAAAAAAAAGAAAAAAACCAGTGCAACCCTCTCTTTGCATAGAATCCTGCACAGAAGGCTGACATGAGGAACAAGGAACGGCAGAGAGGTTCTGGACTGATGGGAGGAGTAAAACCCCGAACACTCAGACACCCCCCACCACACACACACTGTCTCCCTGGTGGCCCCTGAGAAGCCCCTTCAGGACCCTCAGGACCCCCTGGGAGCAGGGGTTAAGCAGCACAGATAGCACCGTTTTGGGGGCCAGTGGGCATCTCACCTGCTCATAGACTTGGCGCGTAGCAGTCAGACAATAAAGTTTTCCCAAGTGAGGGAGGGAACCAGGTAGTAAAAGGCTTTTGAGGGCAAAGTGTCTTCATAAAGCGCTTGGTGTTTGAAGAAGCCTGCTAAAGATGAACGGGGGGCCAGTAACCAAAGGTGACTACCAAGCAGGGGCTCATATCTGCAAGCACACCTTGCTGAAGGCTGAACCCCAAAGAAGCAGGAGGTCATGAGGGCTGCGAGGGAACAGAGCAGGGTGCACCAACTCCCTTCAAATCAAACGTGTAAAGGAGTAAGGGAGGGGCCCACAGCCGTGAGGATGTGTCATGATGACTGATGACAGCGGAGAAAACTGACACTCAATTTCCAGTCTGCTTCCTTGTTCTCCAGCAGAGAGAATCATCTATTTAAAAACCGGAAAAGTAACACACGTGTAAATACCAGGAATCTGCGGGGATGCCAGGCGGGGCAGGTGAGGTCGTCAGGAGAGCCCATGGTGCAGGGGACCCGTGGAAGAGCTGGGACTGGGACCGGGTCTCTGACGGACCCAGTGTCCACCGTCTGCCTTCCCTGAGCCAGTTCTGAAGAAACTGCTGCAACCAGGAAGCAGCAACTAGTAAACACTTGTTTACTGTTTACCAGGGGCAGGCATTGCTCTAAGTGTTTGACATATAAAAACTCCTCCAATGCTCCCAAGAAACCTATAAAGTAGGTTCTATTACTTTCCCCGCTCTTATAGAAGAGAAATTGAAGCCCAGTAGGGTTTAGGGGTCTGTAAAATTTACATGGCAGTAAGCGGCAGAGCTAAAGTTTGAAGCCAGGTACTCTGACCCCAGAGCTCAGTCTCAACCAATCTGCCACGATGCCTCCGGAAACTGAAACTGAACTGTCAGTGCCATTGCTAACAGAGCTTCCCGCAGGAGGATGCATCTTCTGTCTGTGGGCAGTCGAGCTGTGTGAGGCGCTGCCCTGGTTGCTTTCTCCAAATTCTTCCAACCAGGAAAGGCCAGGGGAGAAATGAGTCCTCAGCTCCAGTAAGAAGCAAAATTCAAAGCAGTGTAAAGACCTGGCAACAAAGCAAAGGACGACAAGCATTGTGTGGCTTCAGACACCTTCATGTGTCAGGCTCTGAACACATGCTGCCCAACCTGCTCTCGACAGCCAGCTTTTGGAGCACGTAGTAGGCTGTTTTTAAAGATGAGGAAACTGAGGCATTGTGAGGTCGAGCTTGGCTCACGGTCTCCCAGCTGTTGTGTGCCAGAGTCCTGCTTCCTCTCTAACAAAGCTCACTTTTTGGCAGAGAAGGCAGAGAAACTTGCTGCCATGCAAAATATTCAAATGCTACCCTAAATTAGAACATTGCTTTTAAAACTCTCCACTGTGCATAATAAAGCTTTTAATAAAAGCTTTACTTTGGCTGTGGCTTCGCTGTAAAAGCACATCCGCTACCTACAGTTAACAATATTCTCTCATTTCAACATGAGGACATGGGATTTTCAAGCCCAGACAAATATTTCGATGGCAGCATCCCTGGACATATGGTTGCTTAACGACACTGTCCCCCAGTTCCCAAGCAAACATCGCCAGGTTAACACTCTCCTGCACGCAGCTGCATTAAGTAGCCCCCGAACTAAATTCATAATCCCATGAGTGAGCTGATCCAGTCTGATTTCTTGACTTTCTGATGAGGAAGTGAATGAGAGACCACCAACAATAAAATGTGGACACCAGCATTCAGGCACTGAAAATTATTATTCTTTTTGCGGCCACATCCGGCCTTGCAATTCTCCAGATAGTAAATAACACTTCCAGAAAAATTTCCTCCTAGAATTCATTTCAGTAACACTCTTTTTAATTACTTGCAAAAACAGCACTGGAGTGAATACCCATGCCCCCAGTAAGCTGGTAATTGGAGAGTCGCTGACTTAATCACTGCCGGCTATCCTCAGGAAGAAGGCAGGAGGGGTCCTGTCACATCCAGATAAATACTTAGGAAGGGAAAAAAGAGACTCTCCTCTCCAGGCTCAGTACTTTATGGAAATTTAGGCATATTGAGGTGTGAGAAGGATTCACGTTCATACCTGGGAGAGGCATGTTCAAGTTGTGCCTGCAGCTGGAGGAGAAATACTGATACTAGATTACCTAGGAGAGAAAATACTAGAATAGAGCAGGAAAGACAAGAGTTTCATGACTCAGGCACGAGGTCCCTGTGCACTGCTTTGGACTGAAGCCATCTGAGAAGTAATCAGTGCTCCATAAGGCCAGGGTGATTCCTCCAACCTCCTAAACCGTGTCTCAGGTGCCCTGGAATGCCCCAGATGCTCCGCCCAAATGTCCCTGAGGGTGCTGTCAAAGCTTGCCCGTCTTGCCCAGTCTGCCCGCTTAAGCCCAGGCAGTGGCCAGCAGGGGCTGTTTACAGAGCTGCGGGCAGAAGCCGCACCTGCCGCCCCGGAAGCTCGGACACAGGCGCACGTGGAGATGGAGGCAAGGCTTGGAGCGACAACCAGCACAAACCCGTTCCCGCAGTGTGTTGTGCCTGGATTTGCCGGATTTAGCAAATAATGCTACAGGAAGCCCAGTTAAATTTTAATTTCAGCTAAACAGCAAATCATTTTTTAGCATAAGTATGTGCTAGGAGCAATAAAGTCCTTCGTCTCCAACTCAAGAGACTTGTGTCTTCTGCCAGGTTCCACAAAACAGTGACGGGCTAACTTCTTCGCTTGGAAGGAGGGTAAAAATCAAATCCCATACCTGACCTTGGGCAGCCCCCAGCCAAGGGCCCTCCAGATCCCCAAGTCCTATCCTCATATTCAAAGACGCAATGTGAGTTTCTGAAGCTAAGTAATCAACACCCTCCTACTGGCAACTGCCTGATTCTCTCGTAGGCGAGTCTGGTACCAAGGTTCAGATGTGCAGCGTATGTCTATACATTCCCAGTCATGCTATCAACTCTAGGAAAAAGCTACTTCAAACAACTTGAAAACTTGAGTGAATTAGCTGAGTCTCTTGCTTTTCAAATGATTGCAATTTCATAGTTCAAACAACCTTGGTTTGCAGACTCTTTAGCCTGCTTTTGGTGCCCTCCACAACCTGACCCCCGAATACGGGGCTAGATCATTTGACTCATGTCTAAGCGCAGTCAGTACAACTGAACTGAGCTCGGCATGTGCTAGGCAATACCAAGTGTGGCAGACAGAATTCCTGACTGCAAGCAACGGAAACTAGTTCCCACGAGCTTGAAATGTATTAAAAGTCTATCGACAAGCTCAGAGAATAGAAAGGAAGGCTGGAGAACCAGGCTAAGAAAATAAGAAGGATCCACGAAGGGCGTTCAGACAGGAACATAGATGAGTTCATGGCACAGAATTTATCAGGCGAGGACACTATTCCTGGCTCTGATTCCTCCATTGCCACCACCAGCAGTTTCCAGTGAATAACCATCCCTGTGCTAGACTGCCAAGGCCACCATCGTCCCCTTGAACAATTTGTCAGCTCTGTTTTTTTTTTTTTCAACCTTCGTCTTTGCAGTACTCTGCAAATTCAAAGTTCCGGACTGGCTAAGCTTAGGTTATGTGTCCACATCTGTCTGCCAGGCGTGGAGGGAAGCAGTGACAGTTTCCAGCCTCTTCGGATTCCATTGGAGGGAAATTCTCCTCCACCAAGACACACATAATTTGGGTTTCTCCCATAATAAGAAAAGAATTGACTCAATTACCAGACAGCCAAATATGACAAATGGTCACTTTGGGGGAATATCAGCAAAGCATGAGACGGATTTTGCGTTAAAGTAATTCAGCTCAGGTACCCATAATGACACAAAACAAAACAAAAAATAGGATAAATATGCCTAGAGAACTAGGTAGAAGGACTGAAAGAGCTATGCGAGAAGGGATAGATTAGTGTGAGCTGGAGCCACCAGGGGAGTCTCATGGGGGAGCTCGGTCATCATCCAGGATGAGCCAGTTAGGAAAACTCTGCCAGACAGAGAAGGTGGGAGGAGGTCATCTCATGTGGGGTAAATAAATGAGCAAATATGTGAATGTGAGCATGAGCAGAGTCTGTGGGGAGCAGGGTCAGAATGCCTGGCCTGCCTGGAGAAGAGGGTCTCCCTTGGAAATCAGTGGTACGTTGGTGGGAGAGGCAGGGAGGGATCTAGGAGAGACCTGGGCTTGTAAGAGCAAAGGGAAGACATGCACATTTGGTATTTAGAAAAATTCTGCCCTAAAAACAATGGTGCTTCAGAAAGATTTATCTGGCAAAACAGAATGGTTTGGACAAGGAAAACACCAACATTAAGGTCTGTGTAGTGGCGGGACCTCTTTTCCTGACTTCGCTTGGAGACATCCATAATGGATGTCTGTTAGTAATAGTCCTGGTCTCCCTCCATCCCCATCCTCCTTGGCTGCAGGAGCGCGTAGAGCATTTGGATCAAGAAACTGAGTGTTCGGGGCTCAGCCTCTTTCTGTAGCCTTCTCTTGGGGTTCTTCTTGGCTCCTCCATGCTCTAAATGTCACAAGGGTCGGCACCTACCAGGATGCCCGTAATGCTGCCGTGACTGTGAGCAAACCTGGCTCATTGCACACTGACCTATGAGCCAACCCATTTGGGACTTCAGACCCTAAGTCCTCCTCCTCGTTCCATCTCTCATTTGGTACAGAACTCAGGCAGCCAAAAAGAGGTGATACCTGTGGAACCCCGCAAAAGGCCCCCTGGAGGCCAACGCATGAACCCAGGAGCAGTACGAGGAAGACGTGGTTCAGAGTATTTATGATGTGGAGATTAGGACTCAAAAGTTCTAGAAACTGCTTGTAGCTCAGCTACTAAACGGCTGTGTAGCCTTCGCTTAGCTTCTCTGAACCTCAAGCTCGTCCTCTGTAAACGGCGACTAACTCCTGATCCTCATCTCTTGGGACTGTTGTGAAGGTCGTGCAGCAAAGGATACACCACTCAGCGTCTGAGTCTCCCTCCTTCCCTGGGGGCCAGAGGCTTCGTCAGCATACAATGGCACTCTGGATCATGGCATTTGGAATGTTGCAAGTAGTTTCAACACTTCAGGGTGAAGCACTAAATTGTCTTTAAGACAGAGCTGCTCTTTGTTCTCGAACTGCTTTGTGAGATCTGTTTAGTCATGCAGACATCGCTGTCAGTGCCCTTATCATTAGAAAGTAACTCAGCGCAGGTGCTTCGGGCTCATATACTTAAGTGTTCTGTGCAGTGAGGTCACTTGAGTTATCTAGAGCATAACCATGCCTGCTTCTGTGAACTCCGAAAAGGTTTTCCTTAACTTTCATGTTGACTTCTCAATCCTTGGAAATAATGATTTGCCCTTCGGGGCTGTGTGTGTCCTTTTGTCCAGGCATTTGCTCACCAGCAATGAGGTCCTGAGCCTGGAACGCAGCGGGAGGAAGATGTAGACGTGGTCTCTCCAGGAGGAAAGATTATGAAAAGATCTGCGTGGAAATTGGCGCAAAGCACCCTGGGCTGGTGGCGTCTTGCATGAGTATTTGCTTAGAAGAAGTAACATGCTTTGCAGCAACACGGATGGACCTGGAGATCATCTTACTAAGTGAAGTAAGCCAAGACACAGGGAAAGGGAAAGAAAGGGAAAGAAAAATACCATACGACATCACTTACACGTGGAATCTAAAAAAAAAAAGAGACAAATGAACTTACTTACAGAACAGAAACAGGCTCACAGACATAGAAAACAAACTTACGGTTACCAATGGGGAAAGGAGGAGGGAGGGATAAATTCGGAGTTCACAATGCACAGATACTAACTTCTATATATAAAATAAACAGCAAGGTCCTACTATGGAGCATAGGGAACTAGATTCAATACCTTGTAATGGCCTAAAAATGAAAAAGAATATGAAAAGGAATATATACATATCTGTATAACTGAATCACTATGCTGTACACCAGAAATTAAATGCCATTGTAAACCGACTATACTTCAATAAAAAAAAAATTTTTTAAGAAGTAATGTATAAAACTATATCATTTATAGGAACAACAACAAAAAAAATAATATCATACACCACACTTTGAGAAATCTCCATTGTGGTTGTTTTATCTGCCATGAGGGTGGAGTGAGGTCAAGGTGTCCTCCTGAGGGAGCGGGTCTCCATCCATCAGTCGTCCTGGGGCAGCTGGGGGGCTCTGGGCCGGGGAGGTGAGTCAGACGTAGGCCCACCACCACCAGACCTGCTGGGATCAGGAAGGGCAGGCTGGCCCGCTGTCTCTAACGGCAACTGTTTCTGTTCACCCTTGTAGTTTATTCTCAGCACTTCCTTTAGCCCAGAACCTTCGATCGGGCCATGCATGGAGGCGCAGCTTGGCCACGGTTGTGCTCCAAGGAAATAGGAAAGGCACGTAAGCAGTCCAAGGCTGGAGTGTGGGGTGTCCCCAGTGGTCACAAACAGAGACGGGGCTTCCCAGCAAAAGGTGGGTCTTAAAGGCATCAGTGTGGAGGCAGGAGGCAGGGAAGCTGGCGCACCAATTCTAGACACTCCCATGTCAGTGCCCAGGGAAACCCTCAGACACAGCTCAGGGAGGAAAGGGTTGACGTTGCCAGGGGATAATGTTTCCAGAAAGTAAGTCAGTGTATGAAAGTTTATATAATCGCATTTTATAGGCTCAGGATGGTGAGCCGGGGGAGGTGTAGGACTTAACGTGCTCTGTGCCACGTGACCCGTACAACGGCGCTATGACCGCCTATGGCCTTCTCCTCTTACCGCTGGGGTGACAGAAAACTAAAGATGCTGAATAGCTGACCCGAGGTTACACACCTACCAGAGGGAACCGGTGGGACTCAAACTCTGTCTAAGACCAAAATCCCTGCCCCCAAGCACCACGCTTAATGGTGTCCTGGAGCGGGTCCCTCCTCGAAGGCTCGGGGACAGCAAAGTCAGATGGACTCGCAGAACGGACACCTGGCCAAAGACCCCAGTCAGGTAAGTCAGAGAGGGGAGTTGGGACAAGCCATCCTAACCGAAGAGAAGCCCCTTAGATCCAGCGGCCCATGGAGGCAGGGCTCGGAGCAAGGAGGGTCGGGGGTTAGGATTAGGGCCTTTTCTGAAAAGACTGGCATTTTGACGGGTCTCATCCAATCCACTGAGGGCCTGACTCGAACAAAAAGGCTGAGGAAGGGGGAGTTCACCGTCTCTGCCTGACTGCTTGACCTGAACGTCGATTTTTCTCTGATGCTCTGGCTGCCACATACACCAGAGGCTCCCTGGGTCCTCAAGCCTTCCGAGAAAGACTGAAGGGCAGCACCAGCGGTGCTGGGTCTCCAGCTCACAGACGGCAGGTTGTGGGGCCTCTCAGCCTCCGGAATCATGGGAACCAATGTAATTCTTCGTATTAAATCTCTCTCTCCCTCTCCGTCTGTCTGCCTGTCTCTGTCTCTATCTGTGTCTCTCTATATAGTTTATATATATATACACATAAAATGCCAAGGCACAAGTCATCTTTTTTCCCCATGCTTTCTCCTCCCAGCCAATCTCAGCCCCCCAAATTTCCATTCACCACCTCTCTTTCCTGACCCCAAAGTGTATACAGATGCACACACAGGGACATGTCTGCACACCGTTTAAAAATGAAATGGGAGTCCTGCTGTTCAAAAGGACTGCGTCTTGCTTTCGCATTTAGTGATAGATCTGGAATGAATAACAAATCTGGGATGACTCGGGGCATCTGCATTTGCTTTGGCCACTTTTAAGGGCACATGACTTCTCCAGCAACTCCCCCACAAATGGGCATCTAGGTTGCCTCCACTGTTTCTCTACTATAAGCAAGTCTGCAACAAACCATCTTGTATCCATATGTCTTTACATAATAGTGACGTTATTTCTGAAAAATAGATCCCTTGATGTGATACTGCTGAGTCCAAACATAGATGTGTCTTCCACTGTCTGCTCTTTACAATGTGCTCATCGCGGGGGGATTATGAATATTTTTGTTTTATGCATGCCTGTACTGCTTAGATTTTTGTAACGAGCGTAAAATTTATGATAAATAAAAGTTCTTTAAAAGAAGATACAGTACGAAAAGCTTTTGATCGCTTGGAGTTGCTCCCTGTAAATCTTCTCTCCCAGAAATGTTCTCCACTATTTAGACTTTTCATTTGATGCATGTTGGAAATGTGTGAGAACAGGATTTGTCTGGTTGGTTTGTTGATCCGTTGGATCATTGTTTGTTTGACTTGTTAATTTTGAGCTGTTTAAACAACTGGGAAGGGCTTCTCCTGGCATTTCACGAAGAGGTATGCTAACATCTTGCAATCCGCTAAGAGATTTCTGCACAAAACTCCAAAAGGACCTGTTGCTGAGCAAAATCTCTACCTGCCCAAGCGTACCATTGACAACGTGGATGGCTGCGCAGCCAAGAAGGCTGCAGGCATCCCTGATTGGCTTCCGTTAAAGCAAGCCAATTGATGCAACCATTTCAATTATTAATTCATTGCCCAGCATTTGCTCATTATGAGCATTTGAAAGTAAATGTATTAAAAAATCATTCAACCTGAACTTCAATCCAATGAGAGACTCACACACAGAAAAGAAGGAATTTTATTTCCTAATGAAGCAACAGGAATTCGATAACAGTCCTTTGACCTTAGAGTCCCAGGACAGGAAGTCAGGACCTTTACAGAATGAATAGGCTCCCAACCCTGAAACCTTTTGGTGAAAGACACAAATTGTTTTCTACAAAACTGTGTGCGTGACTTATTCTATTGTCGACAGACTAGTATCTCTGTTGCCAGAAGGATACCTTCCCCTATCTCAGGTCTGCTGTCTGGCTATTTTTAGGTGAACCACTGCAATATCACTCACTCCCCGGAGACATCCCACAAAACCAAAAGAGGCAGTTAAATGAAATTATGAAGCTTAGTTTTCTTATTCCTGGCCTCCTAGCATTACCCAGAGAGGCTTCTACTTCCATTAGAGAATATTCAACCATAAATCTGGCCCCAAAATGCATTTGCATGTGGCTCTGCAGACACTGATGGGCTCCGGGGGCTTCCTCAAAATTACCCTGCATTCTTGTCTGTATCCAGGTGCCCATCCTGGGGCCGCCAGAGGATGGGCTTCAGGCCAGCGGGGAATTGCCACTGAGGGGATGGGAGGAAGGGGCCATGGTCCAAGGAAGGAAGGCAATCCTATCCTCACAACCAGCTCATAAAAGAAAAGGAGGCTGTCATTCCTCCAGGCAAGCCCCTGACCCACAAGAATGCAGTGTAGATCCCTAAGTGTCCTGAGACTTCCGCCACGGTGAATTGGCACCATGGTAGATGGCACCTTAATTAGAATTGAGCTGTTGTTAAGAGACCCATTTCAGTGATGATCTGACAAAGAAGTGCCACAAAAAGAAACAGATTTCATCATTTGCTTGAAATCTTGTTTTTGCCTAGGGACATCTGGCAGTAATCATCATTTACTCATTTGGACTGAATGAATGGTGTCTTATTTCCTTCCCTGTGTGCAAACCCTCAAGCATGGCCATTAGAGGAGGCTGAGTTCTCGCATGTCATCCAAGGCTGCTCTTTGCCAAGAAGGTCTTGTTCCCTATTTTTAAGCACTAAGAACAATCCCATTTTAGGATATTTTTATCTGGAGTAGCTTTCCAATAATTTGCCTCACCTGTTTTCCTTTAAAAATGATTTATCTTCTTTACACATTGGTCGCCTTTCTGGATCTCCTGTTGGAATGTCCTTGGGTCTCTACCCAATATTACTGCTCATTCAGTCAAAAGGGAAGCAGCCCTCACACTTACGGAAGGAATAAGCTACAAAGAATGCCGGTGGTCCTCAACCTTGGCAACAGGTTAGAATCACCTGGAGATCTTTTTAAACTCCCAAAGCTCCAATGGCGGCATGTATATAATTCCATTTAAATGACATTCTCAGAAGGGGGCTGGGGAGACTGCAGGGACTGAGGTCAGTGGTTTCCAGAGTCTGGGGCTGGGGATGGAGGTGGAGGTCAAAACTCAAACCAAGGAAATTTGTTGGGGGTGGGAACTGTTAGGACTGTTCTGGATCCTGATCCTGGCCGGTGTTACAAGAGTCTAGGCATGTGTTTAAACTCGAAGTGAGAAAGGTACATGGGGAAAAAAAAGTGAATACCATTGTATATATTTTATTTTAAATCCCAACTCCCTGGCCATATCTGGACTAGTTAATTCAGAATTTCTAGGTGGAATGCAAGCATCCACATATTTTTAAAGCTCTTTCAGGATTTCCTGTATACAGTCAAGATTAAGAAGCGCGAGTCCATGTGAGTAATGTTTGATTGACACGGAAAGTTGCTGCTTTGTTAGTAGCTCGTTCCCCCACCTCCCAGAAGCAATCTCCATCAGTCAGGACCCGCCTGCCTCAGGTGTGGGTGGGAGGTAGGTTTTTGTGATTTGATTCTCAAAGAGATGCTTTTCCTTGGGGATAGTGCTAATTTCTGTCTCTGGGGTCCCTTCCTGATGCCCAGAAACAGTTCTATGAGACATAGAAGAGACCGGGGTTCTGAGTTTCTGGTCTAGTCCACGTTCACTCTGCCCCTCCCCCAACCACAGAACATAAAAGACTTATTAAAAATTGGCATATGCGAT